CCGACTGAGTCAGGAAAACGAATCGAGCAAAAATCAAACGAAGAAAAAAATAGAACATCAGAAAATCCACAAACGTTGCAGTTCTCTTTACATTTATTAAAGTTTCTAACTACTGATAAAGACTGATGGCTTAAATGATAAAAATCCAAAATAACCACTTGTCGTTAAGTCGTCCGTTTCCTTTCGTCTAAAAATAAGTCGTTATTGGAATCAATAATGAACTGGTTTCAATTCGAATATCGTTTTCACATTGAGTATCTATATATCTGCTTTCCGCTCCTTCGATTATTGACGGTCGTTAATTCTGAATTATTCACTTTGAAATTATACATAAAATCTCGACAATGGAAAAAATTCTTCGAAACATGTCCATAATGCACGACAATTCATAAAGTGAATTCAGGTGAATTCAGGTGCGTGACAATTGGAAAACGAAAACCTCAAGAAAATGTGGCAAAAACTATGTAATCTTGACGTTAACCTCAAGATTATGATAGCATTCCGATCACTAATTGACTAATAAAACTACGGACTCATCGACGAGAATTTCCTTATCATAGAGATCGTTGCTCTTCTTATGCAGACAAGCGTGGATTGGCACTGTTGGTTGGAACAAAAATCAGAAAAAAACCACAAATTAAAAAAATCACGTTTTGTATTGCGTTACCCTTGACTGCCAGCCGATTTCCTTACGGCTATTGCGAATTCAGTATGAACACTTCATTGGAAGCTGGGATATTTTTGGTAGTAAGCATTTCGCCAAGGATCTCTAATTGTAAGCCTGTAGGGTAGGTATGAGCGATTGACAGCTGGTAATAACTAATTGTAAATTCAACGTCGTTTCTAACTCTGAGAACTAGAAATCAACAGGGAAAGATTTAGGAACCTTTGCTTTGCCACGGACTTTCAACTGGATGAAACGATGGGACCAAGGACACGGAACTGAACTACACGAATAACATTAACTGACGATATACTAGCAAACGTACTTCCCTGTGATGTTTAATATTTTCCATTTTGAGTCAATCGAATCGGCTAGTTTATACAAAAATCAGTTTGTTGATATTGAGAATTGAACCATTCGTCAGTATCTGATGTTTCCTGCGATATCATCTCACCTTACCCCACTTAATAAGTGAAGATATTTCGTGAGCATAAAGCCTTCCAACCTGATCAAGCATTTTTAAAAGTCGAAGCAATTGAACATGTTGACGTTCAAGAATAAACATTTTATTATATACAGATATCATTGGATACACATATTGGATCGTTATGATATGAGCGTACACAATGATAAGATAACTTAGACGATAACCTTCATGATCCTTTCATAATCTGTGGGCATTATACTTTTGAGGTGTATCAGTTGCATTTACATTCTTGAAATTTCACTCGTGTTATATCTCAATATTAGTGGTTAGTTCAATCACTGAACTGAAATCGGGAGTCCCACTGACTAAACAATGGGAATCTTGAGAAAATCTACGAAAACTATTGAAGAATTCATGAGAAATTAAGGAACAGTCAATGACGTGACATCAAAACTTCCAACTACGGTTCATCTCAAAACATTGGTACAGTCGCATAGATCATGGATCAACTACGAATCGTAGTGATTCGTTTATTGTCGAGTTGCGCCCTGTTTATTCTCCCATGGGAAGAAGTTACCGAAACCACCGAATATACTCGAAGCACCATTTTTACGTCTGTATTCTTTTGCCTCAGCTTGGAATCGATTCTCTTGAAGCCGTTCGAATGCAGCACATTTCTTATCTTTGAAGATGTTTGGCAACTGAAAATGTATCAAAAAATTCAAAGATGTAAATGATTCAAAGAAACTCAACAAAAAAAAGATTCTTAAATATTTTCATTCCAATGAGTGCGTCTTGCTAAGTGAACCAACCGAATTCGCTGTGGTGGCTGCTTCGAAAAGAAGATTTGTTTTCACTTTAGCACCTTCAATTTCATAGTCTACTACTGAGTGTTCACAGGCTAACAGACGATCAGGATTCCTCTTTGAGACCCAATATTCTAACAGCTCTGAATTGGTTGGAGTGTACGATCCTTGCTGAAATTCAATCAGTTATCACCTTATTGACCACTTATCGCCTCCAATCACATTAATCACTCCTTATCATTTCGATCACTTCTATCAGTTCACATCTTCTTGCTTCAGCCAACGTCACATACTTTCATCCAATAAATTATTTGCTCAACTTTTTTTCAGAAAATATTTCTTTTTCAATATTTTAATGAATTTTCAAAATGATCTGTTGAAATGATCGTCAAGTAGAGGAAATTTTTGAATTTCTGAAATGAGCGAAAATTTTGCCGAGAGAAACAGATTGTTGGAAAAAATTTTTGAAAAATATTCCCACCTCAATGCTGTTCGCTGCCAGCCATTCGCCAATCATTGCCAACTTGAACGCTTTACCCAACAACGGATTGTCGATACTTGCGAAGAATTCTTTTTCCAGCTGAAACACAAATTCGGAGTTTTTTCATCATCAAACGAATGTAAATACTTCATGAATCATTCAGACGCTTTCTTTTGCAGATGTATTTACAACAGTGCATCAGACACAATAGAAGGATGGTGATCTGAAGACTTCAAATTTTAAAATGATTATATTTGCCAAAGATTGAAATTTTCATCGAGCTGAACGTCTCAACTCATCAACTCCGTTGTCTTCAGCTGAGAACGGTTATTAAGTATATATTTGTGGTAGATTTATACCAAATTCATTCGAGTTCGATGCAATATGCTCATGGGTAATTCAATTCAGCTCGTTGAGCAGTACATAAACAAAGTGAATGAATGAAACTCAAGCAGAGACATTAAAGTGGAGTGAATTCGGTATTATAGATAAAAATTACGTTGAAAATCTATCTCTATTGTTTTGAGGTAATAATAGTCTGTATTAACTGTTTTTTTAAATGAAACATCACTGCTTACAATTGGGATGAAATTTTTTTTAGACTATACAAAAGATATGAAATTAATGACAATGAGTAAAAATCGCTCGCGCGCATACAAACATTATGCGATCTAGTGCATACCTCAGCACGTGTGTCGCCTCTCTCGTAGAATTTCATCCAGATGTCAATGGCACCTTGTTTCTGCCAATAGTCTTTTTGCCATACTGATTTCGAGAACGCCGAACACATCGTGAAATTTGGATCCTCGGGTGGAGGGCAAAGTTTTACAGTCAAACGATAGGTGCGCTCATCAGTGGCACGACACAGGTTTCCGTCCGTGTTCTCCAACAATTTCAACTTCCTAAAAGACGTCTATTGAGATTGAACCAGGCATTTAAATATTCATCGAGTCCTGGATGAAAGTAGATTCTGTAATCCTATCAAGTCCTCAAGATTTCAGGCACTATTATCTTATTAAATCCCAACGATCTCAGCCATTATTTATTAAGTTGAAATTTCAATGCCCTACTATCTTAGTAACTTCGACTCCTTTCAAACCAAAGGCTTAAATGAAGCTCATGTGCCCAAGCTTGAAGTAAGATGACCTTGTGTTCTTGCACCAGTCACAGTAGAAGCATTCTCGACCGCAGGTTGCCACATCCATGCAACGTAATTTGCCGATCGGTTGTACCATAACATCAAGTTTCATTGCGAGTCGGTTTATGTGCACCTCTTGAAAACAAAAACTGATTATCTTGAACGAAAAATGACACAAATATGTTACAGATTAGACCATAACAGTCATGCGTATGCAATTTTACTTTTACGTTTCGAGCCAGCTTAAAGACAACCATGAATTAATGAGTTCAATCAACCTGTTGAATCTCAAGCAGTTCAAAGGAAGCGTGAATTAGATCACTGCGTGAAAAGTAATAAACTCTCCAACATTTCAGATTCTCACCAGTATCATTACCACTATGGCACAGGCCAAATCCGAGACAAAAAGTAATGGCGATATCCAAGCCTGGCCAATTTGAGGTTAAAAGAAAGAGAATCTGAGCTAGGGATTCACGTTAGGTGATGGATGTAAATTACAAAGGATGACAACGAACTTGGTGGTAAAGTGACATCAATGGACATATCGAAACAATCCGGCCAAGTCAACTTCAGCGTGCCATCGCCTTCACGTTCCGATGAGTGGTGGAAGGATGGATTGGCGACTTTAATTGGCTCAACGCATGGTTGTCCGTTGACCTCACGACAACATGCCGACGTCCGTGCGTCTTTCAGTTTTGCGATGAACAAATTCTTACTTATCACTGCCTGCAAAAGACGACAATTGCCGGAATTGGGACTGAAATATTCCGGAAGTCGAACGGCAAAATTGTTCGCAGAATGAGCGCTTGTAGAAATTATGGAGAATTCGGAGTCTTTGCTAATTTTCAACCGTCTTGAATAATGGAAAATGATCGAGTACACTTTTGTGGAAACTATCTTAAACAAGCACATCGAATTTATGCCTTGCATTCATTTCCGTGTGTCTTTCAGTTTCAAAATTGAGTTTGTAAACTGTTAAAGTGCTGGAATATTTCAATTTTCAAGAGATCAGTCTGCTTAGAAATTGCTGATCAACAGATTGCTTCTCCTGATCAACAGGTTGCTGCTCCTGCGATCAGTCTGGTTTAAGACAGAATAGCCCGTTCACGACAGTCCATCCAGGGGCCAGCGCATTTGACCCTCTGGTGGAACCATGAACTAATCTAAAAATCTGATATGAACCTGATATGAGCGATCACCCAGTTTTTGCACCGTACCCGTTGCGATTGGTACATCTTTGTCGTTGTATATAACTGTATTACCGGTCTTGTCAGCCACTACTTTACCCACACTTCGTCCTTGCGCATCATAACATTGAGAAATACCCGGAGTTTCGGCTGAAATATGGACAACACATGAATTTTTCACATTTGAGAGCAAATTCTTTGAGGTAGCAATGAAACAATTTCGAATTGTGGATGAAAATTTTAAGACTCAAGAATAAAACTTTAAAAAATGGCGTGATCGTTGAGATCATAATTTCTCTGATTTTATTTTTTTGACACGGTTGATAATTGTGGTCATAGAAATAAATTAAGATCACCGAACCAGTGCAATGATATTTTTC